GAGGGTTGTCCCCGAGGGCACTCCGACGGTCAAATTAGTTTTCCGGTGAGTAGAGTTCACGGGAAGTAGGAACAACCGGGAGTAATTTGCCAATAGTGAGCGTACCTTGTACAGTCGACGTGTGTTACCTTTTATACCTGCTAGGGGAGTCCGACCTCCGCACGTTCTGGGACTTGCCCAGAATAGCCCCCTATCCCGCATTCAGGGGGATCTTCCCCGACCTCTTCGGGATGGATCCTTGCCCCCTTTAGGTGCCCTAGCAGCGCGGCCCAGGACGACCGCCAGGGGCCTGGGGCCGAGGCCCAACTCGATTAGGCCTGGGCTGCCACGTGTCCAGATCCAGGACGGGGCCTCTGCACTAGCCCCCTAGATTAGGTAGGGCTGTCAGGCAGACCTAATCTACCTTTGCCACGTGGGAGGCCAGCGCCGTGCACTACCCTGCCAAGGTCACCTCTGGTACAGTACTGTCACAGGGACGCTGCGCCCGCGTCCTTTCAGTTGTCACGCCTCTTCGGTTTTCATACCAGCATTAAATGAGTTTATATGGGGGACGGTTCAAATCCACGCAACCGTTTTCCCTCCACTCCTCCCCCTATAAATAGGGGTCACCAGATTTCCATCTGTTCCGTTTGCCACTTCTCCTTCCTCTTGTGCATTTTGCACTCCCATTTTCCTTGTGCATTCGCATTTCCATTTTCCAGCAACTTCCGGCGTCCCGTGCCCAGATTTCGGCGAGTCTTCCATCCTTCCTCTGCCTTGATCATCAGTAAGTCCCTGTTGCGATTCCTTTTCCTTTTACAGTATCCCTTCTGCCTTCCGCTACCTCCTGCTTTTTATGTCGGATCATTCCGACGTTACTTCCACCGCATCCCAAAGTCCGGTCCGCCGTAGAGCCACCAGGATCTTCATTTCTTCTTCATCCTCGTCTTCACCTTCTCCTCCTCCTCCCTCATCTTCTTCTGCATCTAACCCGGATCTGCTTGATCCCATAGACATCATGAGCTCTCCTTTCAACCGTTCTCCTTCTGCCCACTCCCCCTCAGCCCGGGAGCTGGAGGAGGCTGCCGAACTCGATGCCCAACTAGAGCGGCGGGCCGGCTCCACCCCCTCCCCCAGGTCCCCCCATGACTCCCCTGGCGGAGCCCAGGAAGGAGCTGGGGAGGATAGGGACTCCCCCGAGGGGACCCCTGACCCCCCGCAGGGGGATGCTCTTGAATTCAGCTACGGCTACCCTGACCACGAGGAGGTCACCATCTCACCCGAGGCGGTGGCCGAGCTGGTCAGGTCGTACTCTATCCCTCCGGTCTTCGAGCCAAGGGCTGCCGGACCCGACGACCGAGCCAGCCGACCTCCCCCTGGTTTCGTAGCTATCTACAAGGAACAGCTGATCGGGGGGCTTCGTCTACCGATCCCTCCGGCCCTGGCCGAGATCCTGAGCTACATTGGGCTCACGATCACCCAGGTCCACCCTAACTCGATCAGGATCGTCATAGGATTCCTGATCTATTGCCAACTCTGCTCCATCCCTTACTCCCTCTCCCTCTTTCGAGCTGCTTTCGTCCTCAAGGCAGCCCTTATTGGGTGGTATTACTTCTGCCGCCGGATCGGGAGCCAAGGTCGGGGGGACAAGGGCTGCCAGGACTTGTTCTATAAATTCTCCTCTTCCGTAAAAAACTGGAAAGGGGACTTCTTCTTTGTGAAATCCACCGATTTTGACGCCACCGTGTGGAGGGTCGGGGAGGTCAAGACTGACCCCTACCCTAAGGACCTGGACTCTGAAACCCTCATCCAGCTGTTGAGCTCTAAGGTGAAACTCACTGCCACCAAGTTCTCCAGCAAGCAGATCTCTGCGGCCGGGCTGATGGGGACATTGTCCGGGTCCCCTGGCGAAGTGGTGGCCTCCCCTGTCGACCTCGACGCCTGTAACGCTGGCCCTGACCTTGTAGCTCGTTGCATTTGCATATATGTATATTTTCTTACCGTCCTGTTTTGGCTGATCCAGCGATGTTTCTTGCAGTGAGGAAGCTCTCACAGCTGCTAGGCGCACCCACTGAGGCGGCCACCGCCACTCTCCAGCCAGAAGCTGCCAAGGAGGTTCCTGGGGCGACCTCGACCCTGAGGGGCGGCCAAGCCCCCCAGAAGGAAACGCAGGACACCTCCTCCCCCTCCAAGAAGGCTGCCAACAACAAGAAGAAGGCAGCCGGGCAGAAGAGGGGCCGAGGGGACGAGCCCTCCCAATCCGGGAAGAAACTCGCGCTGGTCCCCGCACAGCCTCCTCCTCTTACGCTGGTATCCGGGGGGCCAGTCCACCTAGGCGTGGGCTCTGCCAAGGAGCATGCCCAGGAGTCGCCTCCCCCAAGCTTGTGGCACTTCCGCCACATAGCTCCCATGAACCCGGGCCAGGCCCCCATTATGCACGACCCCCGCCGCTTCTGCCCGTCCTGGGAGCTCTCCATTAACGACCGAACCCAGTTTTTCGAGGTGGTTCGCGAGCTGATGGTGAGCTCGGTCCTCCCACGCGACAGGAGGTGGATGGAGCTGGCTGACCCCTACGAGCTCCTGGACGCGTATTACACTGCCCAGGCTCAAGTAAGTCTTCTAGCCCATGGGTCAGCTTTGCCTCTATGTTCGAGTTAGGTAGCGTAATGTGCTGACCTGTTTTCCCTGCACCTCAGGCCAACGCCGCGGGTGCCGCCCTGGCGACCCGCTTCTCCGAGCTGTCTCCCGACTTGGAGAAATTACGGAAGAAGAATCGGGAGACGGAGCAGAGGCTTACCCAGACTCTTAAGGACGCGGACTCCCTTAAGGCCAAACTGGGCAAGGCCGAGAAGGAGCTGGACACGGCTCAGGTTCAGCTCGCTTCCACTAGGTCGGAGCTCGACCAGGAGAAGGCTGGTGTGGCCAAGCTGAAGGAGGACCATGCCATCGAGCTTTCCGGCACTGTCAGCCGGGAGCGAAAGAGGGCTGTCCGGGAGTTCATCTCTTCCGAGCAGTTTGAAGAGGACATCGCCCTCCTTAACCTGCCCATCCACCAGGTCAGCTCTACGCGGGTCCTGAACAAGGTGAAGAGCCTCAACCCTCCTGGCTTCAACTTGGCGGACTTCAAGGACTACAATCCCGAGGCCGAGGAGAGGCTGGACTGGCTCTTCGACGGGTACCGCAAGAGGCATGCCCTGAAGAAGCTGGTAGGCCGAACCGACGTTGGAGCCGAGCTGGCAGAGGTGCCCTTGGAGGAAAGCGAGTCTCCCGGCAGAGCTTCCGGGAAGGAGCCAGTGGCCTAGGGCAGCGGCCACTCCAGGAACCCTTTCCATCTTCTTATAAGGATGTGACCATACTCCAGTTGAAAATGCTCTCGAAGGTCCATCTGAGACGGAAAGGCTCCCCTGCTTGAATAGCCTTCACCATACGCCTCTCAGCATGCTTAGGGTGTACCTTCAACTCCTGCTCCAGGCGGGCTACCAGCAAGAAGAAGGGGGTCCGAGCTGTCTTCTTTTCATGGCTAGGCACACTTTGTGACAGATAGGCAGCTCGGAAATTTTGTAATAGATAGGCTTTGAGTGCATATACGAATCGAAGGAAATTTCCTTGCAACTTTCGCCTGCACGCAAGCCATGTGCCGATCTCCGGGGCCGAGCACCAAATACGTCACCCTTTTTAATCCAACAGTGGAATTGTCCAACGACAATCAAACTATCATGTGCCGGCCTCTTGGGTCGAGCACCAAATAGACCCATCAGGGGATGTGCCAGCCTCTTGAGGCTGAGCACCAAACGTTGAGAGTATTTCTGCCGACCTCCCGGGTCGAACGCGGAGCCCTCAAATTCGAATGCTTGGAGCCTGGCCAACCTCTTAGGGTCAGACCGTGCCGACCTCTCGGGGTCGAGCATCAGGCTTCAAAGGCCTCTTCGCCGACCTCCTGGGTCGAGCGTCAGGCTTTCGGGTTTCCCAGTTTTTCCCAATCGTGCCAACCTCCTGAGCCGAACACTTCACCTCGATTCCTTACTACCCTTAGCCCCCCACTAGGATATTTAGTGAGGGAACGTTAAGTGTGCTAGTGCAAGGTGCAAACTTAAAGACTTTAAAAGCGGACAAGTACAAGTGAAATTAAGACTGTAAAGTCGGGCTTTTATTGAATGGTAAAACAAAAATTCGGATTTCAGAGAACAGACAACTGAACACCCTGGTCCAACCTATGCTACAAACAGTCGCAGATTGGAGAAGTGCCAAGTACGGGGTACTTCAGATCCATCCATCTTGGCGAGCCTGCAGTAGCCAGCTCGGCTCACCTCAAGGACCTTTTATGGGCCCTCCCAATTTGGGTCGAGTTTGTTGGAGCTGTGAACTCGGCTAACCGAGTTCTTCCTTAGGACGAGGTCCCCCGGTTGGTACTGCACAGTCCTTACTCTGGCGTTATGATAGCGGGCGAGCTGGCTTTTGTACTTAGCCATCCGTACCGCTGCTTCTTCATGCTTAACCTCCAGCATGTCCAAGCTGTACCGCAACTCTTCTTCGTTGGTCGACGCAACGAAGTTCTGTGTCCGGGGCGAGGGGAGACTAATCTCCGCGAGCACCACCGCCTCTACTCCGTAGGTTAAAGAGAACGGGGTCTCGTGGGTGGCCGTCCTATGCGTAGTGCGGTAAGCCCAGAGGACACTAGGGAGTTCATCCAGCCAGCTCGATTGGGCTGACTCCAACCTAGTCTTCAACCCTTGCAGAATGGTTCGGTTAGCGTTCTCCACCTGACCATTGGCCTGGGGGTGACCGACCGACGTGAAGTGCTGGTTGATCCCAAACTCGGCGCACCAGTTCCGGAAGGGGTTCTCAGCGAACCGGCGCCCGTTGTCGGATATCAAGACATGCGGGATGCCGAAGCGGCAGACAATGTTCCTCCAAAAGAATTTTTGGATTGCTCGGCCAGAGATGGTGCCCAGGGGTTCCGCTTCCATCCATTTCGTGAAGTAGTCGATGGCAACCACGAGATGCTCGTACCTTCCCAGAGCTCAGGGGAAAGGGCCTAGGAGGTCTATCCCCCATTGGGCGAAGGGCCAGGGGCTATGGATGGGGATCATTTCCCGAGCTGGCTGGTGACGCAGTGGGGCGTGCACCTGGCAAGCTCGGCATTTCTGTACCAGTTCTGCGGCATCCCGGAAGACGGAGGGCCAATAATAGCTCGAGAGAAGGCACTTTTTGGCCAACACCCAGGACCCTACGTGCGCCGCACATATCCCTTCATGGATTTCGTGGAGGACGTAGTCCCCCTCCTCGAGAGTCACGCACTTTAGCCAGGGAGACAGGTATGACTTTCTGTAGAGGGTTCTCCCAGCGTAGGCGTACTTGGCAGCTCCGAGCTGGATTCGGCGGGTCTCGGTTTTGTTCTCAGGAAGGACACCCGAGCTGAGGTAGTCGATGAGGGGTGTCATCCAGGTGGCCGAGTTGTCTATAGCCATGACTCGAACCTGATCGATACTTTTCTGTTTTACTACCTCTATCAGAACTTCTTTGCTCAAGTGCGTGAACGAGGAGGATGCCAGCTTCAACAGGGCGTCCGCACGCTTGTTTTGCGATCTTGGCACCCGCTCAATCTCAAAGGTATCAAATAGGGTTGTTGCCTCCTGCACCTTGGCCAGATACTTCTTCATGACCTCCTCCTTGATCTCGTACTCCCCGAGGACTTGGAGGACGACGAGCTGAGAATCGCTCCGAACTTGGATCGCGGTTATACCCATCTGGTGGGCTATCCACAATCCCGTGAGCAGGGACTCGTACTCGGCCTCATTGTTGGACGCGGGGAAGTCAAATCTGAGAGTGTAGGTCACCTCTTCCCCGGTGGGTGAGATGAGTAGCAGACCCGCTCTGCTATCTTCCTTGCTGGAGGCCCCGTCTACAAACAACACCCATGGCTCCTTCGGCCGTACCTCCTCGCGCAGGGGGCTTAGCTCGGTTAGTGTTAAACTAGCCCTCTCAGCAAGGAAGTCTGCCAGCTCGACGGCCCACATGATCATCCTACCCGAGACTTTGGGCTTGGTGAGTATCCGCCGTAGAGGCTGATCGGTTAGGACGACGATGCTGTGGGTCTGGAAGTAAGGTCGGAGCTTCCGGGCAGCATGCACTAAAGCCAGGACTAGTTTTTCAGCTGGCGTGTACCGCATCTCCGGCCCTTGTAGAGTACGGCTGACATAGTATATTGGCCTCTGAACCCCCCTGTCCTCCCGCACCAAGATCGCGCTAACGGCTTCGTTGCAAGTAGACAAGTATAGGAACAGGGTCTCCCCCTGCTCCGGGGCCGTCAGAGTGGGTAGCTCTGCTAAGTATGCCTTGAGATCGGCGAAGGCTTTCTGGCACTCCTCCGTCCATTGGAAATCTCTAGGCGTTTTTAGGATGCGAAAGAAAGGCAGCCCCCGGACCGCGGAACGCGAGAGGAATCTGTTCAGGGCGGCCATCCTTCCTGTGAGCCGCTGAACCTCCTTTACGTTCCTCGGGGGGCCATGTCCATGATGGCCTGGAGTTTATCCAGGTTGGCCCGGATCCCATCCTAGGATACCAAGAACCCCAGAAACCTTCCCGATCTAACCCCGAAAGTGCACTTTTTCGGATTCAATCGCATCCAACTTTCCCGCAGGATGCCAAGGATCTCCCTCAAGTCAGGGACGAGCTGCTGGTCTGTCCGGCTCTTGATGATCATGTCATCTACATAGACTTCCATGCTCCTGCCGATCTGGTTCTGGAACAGTTTGTTGACCAGGCGCTGGTAAGTGGCTCCAGCATTTTTTAAGCAAAACGGCATGGTCCGGTAACAATAGGTTCCCTCCTCGGTGATAAAGGAGGTCTTCTCCCGGTCCTCCTCAGCCATCTCTATCTGGTGGTACCCCTTGAAAGCATTCAGAAAACACAAGACATCAAAGCCCACAGTAGAATCTACTAACCTGTCGATTCTCGGCAGAGAAAAACAATCCTTTGGGCAGGCTTTGTTGAGATCCGTGAAGTCCACGCACATCCTCCAGGTCTGATCCTCCTTCTTTACCAGCACCGGGTTGGCTAACCAGGTCGGGTAGTAAACCTCCAGGATGATCTTAGACTCCAGCAGTTTTCCGACCTCCTTCTTGATCACATCGTTCCTTTCTGAGGCGAAGCTCCTCTTTTTCTGTTTGACTGGCTTGAAGCGGGAATCCACGTCGAGGTGGTGGACTGCCAGGTCGGTCGGGATCCTGAGCATGTCATCCACCGACCAAGCGAAGACCTGGGAGTATTCCCTTAACAGAGCCTTCAAGCCCTCCTTCTCCTTGGGGGGCAGCAGCGCGCTTATGCGGATCACCTGGTCTGGTCGGTTTTCCCTCAAGGGGAATTCCTAGATTTCGTCCTGAGTGCTCGGCTGCTGGGCTTCATCCCCTGGGATGTACGGCTCCAGACAGGTCGTCTAGGCGACCACCCTCTCCGGCCCGCGGAGAGTGGCCAAGTAGCAAACTCTGGCTACCTCTGGATCACCGTGCACCTCAGCTATCCCTCCTGGAGTGGGGAACATAACACTGAGATGGAGGGTAGATGAAATAGCTCGAAGGGCGTTCAGAGCTGGCCGACCCAGGAACAAGTTGTACGAGGATTGCTGTTTGACCACTACGAAGTTGACGGGGATGGTCCGGCATTTGGGGGCCTGCCCTACCGTGACCATCGGGGTGATCATTCCCTCCGGATTAATGGGCGGCCTGGTGAAGCCCACCAGAGATGTTCGAACCGGGGTCAGTTGGTCATCCTTCAATCCGAACTCCTTGAACACCCGATAGAACATAATGTCAACCGCGCTACCTTGGTCGACATACACCTTCTTCACCCGGTAGTTGTTGGTGACAATGTCTATCACGATGGCCTCGTGGTTCTCGAACGCCAGGGGAACCGCATCCCTTGGTCCGAAGGTGATCTCCTCGTCCATGCGCAAGCGTTTCAAGGAGTCGTCTCCCTCGGGGGGTGGTCGCTTGTTCTTCCGATTTGCATGACTGTCCCCCCCGTGGGGCCCCCGGCGATGGTGTTTATCACTCCCGCCAAGTTCGGGGTGTCCTGGTCGGGAGAGTGGCCCCGAGGAGCGTCACGCCGCTCAGGGCGGTCGCGACGCTGTCCCTCACACCGGTCTCCATAGTAATGGCGCCCGGACTCCTGGCCCGGCCGGCCATGGCGTACGAACCGTCCCAGAAAACCGCGCTGGATCAGGTCCTCGATCTCCTTCCGTAGGGCCCAACATCTCTCCGTGTCGTGTCCCACGTCGCGGTGAAAGGCACAGTACCGGTCCTGGTTCCTCTTGTTCCGAGGTGTCCCCATCTTTGGCGGCCGATCTCCCAGCCCTTCCACCTCCATAACAGCCAAGATCTGTGCTCTAAACAGTGTCAGAGGGGTGTAACTCTTCTCCGGGAGTGGCGGCGGAGCAGGTGCCTTCTCCTTCGAGAGCCGATCAAAGACGTTCTTCTTGGTCGGGACGTCCTTGCCCTCTTGGGGGTTTGTCCGACCCTTCCGATCTCCGAGCTCCCGATCTGATTCTTTCTTCAGGCGGCCTGCCTCCTCCGCATTAGCAGCCGCGTGTGCCCGGGTTAGGAGCTCCTCAAGGTTTACGGGAGGCTTCTTGGCCAACTCGTAGAAGAGCTCCTCTACCCTGAGCCCGTTCGTGAAGGCGGCCATTACCACTTTTTCATCTTTGTCCCTGACCTGCAAGCTCTCCGCGTTGAAGCGGGTCATAAAGTTCCCCAGCGACTCGTCGGACTTCTGCCTGATAGACATCAGGTGGGTGGCGTTCTTCGCATAGGTCTTCGAGGAGACGAACTGGGCGACGAACTGCCTAGCCAGCTCGGGGAAACTCCGGATAGACCCTGGTGCCAAGCCTTGGAACCAGAGCCGAGCTTTCCCCTTCAGGAACATCGGGAAAGTCTTGCAGCGGATCTCGTCCGCAGCAGTTTGCAGTCGCATGTGCGTCAGGAAGACCGAGAGGTGGTCTTCCGGGTCAGTGGAAGCGTCATACATCTCGATGCTCGAGATCTTGAACCTCCGGGGTAGGGGGTAATCCTCTATCTCCCTGGGGAAGGGCGAGGTGGAGTAGTTGTCTTCGTACAACCGCGGCCGCAAGATCTGCTCAAGCTCGTCTTGGACAGGCCTCAAGTGGAGGGGGTCGCGCGGTCGGCTCTTGGCAGACCGGGCTGGAGAGCGGTCAAGCCCATTTCGCACAGGCCTCCTCGGCGAGGGGTCCCTCGGCCTACTCCCCGCGGACCTGTAGCGGGAGTACCTCTCGCTGTCCCCGACTACCGAGGCTCGCGGGCGAGGTGGAGTCCGTGGCCATTTCCTTCTAGGGGGTTGGTCGCGTGACTCATCCTCCGAGGGGTCGGGGAGTGGCTCTTTCTCTTTTCCCTTTGCCTTCGAGGTCTGCGGGCCTCCAGCCCCCTCCCCCTCCTTCGCCTGCCGGATGATGTCTTCCAGCATAGGGAGGTTCTCCGTCACGAACTGGAAAATCTGCTGCTTCCTTTCTCCTGAAAGGGCCGAGCCTCCGGCGCCCCGAGACACCTCAGCCTCCCTTCGCTGGGACCCCTCACCGCCTCCAGGGCCGGTGCTCTCTACCGTTCGCTTGGATCGCGTCCTGGCCATCAACACAATCTTAACTACCTTACGTTTCCCACAGACGGCGCCAACTGAAGAAGCGCTGAGCTTCCCCGTACCGAGCTGAACTGATGAGCTCGGGGTGCTGATGGAAGAGCTGGTCCTAAGCCTGCAAAATAAACAGGAATGAACTAGAAGAGGGGGCCCGAGGGTTGTTCCCGAGGGCACTCCGACGGTCAAGTTAGTTTTCCGGTGAGTAGAGTTCACGGGAAGTAGGAACAACCGGGAGTAATTTGCCAATAGTGAGCGTACCTTGTACAGTCGACGTGTGTTACCTTTTATACCTGCTAGGGGAGTCCGACCTCCGCACGTTCCGGGACCTGCCCAGAATAGCCCCCTATCCCGCATTCAGGGGGATCTTCCCCGACCTCTTCGGGATGGATCCTTGCCCCCTTTAGGTGCCCTAGCAGCGCGGCCCAGGACGATCGCCAGGGGCCTGGTGCCGAGGCCCAGCTCGGCCAGGCCTGGGCTGCCACGTGTCCAGGCCCAGGACGGGGCCTCTGCAGACTCCAGTTGAAATATGCAAGTAATCAATGGCTTTTCCAAAAACAAAACAGGGTCTTGAATCTACTTGTCGAAATAAATTAAAAAGTTTGGAGTTATGTGATCATGAAATTTATAACTTTTTTTCAAAAAAAAAAAAAAACCAGAGGCAACTACGACTTCTGTAAAAATCTTGCAATTGCTACTAACATATATTATTTGACAAATTCAACTGCTAATGAACATATTCACTGATATTTTGTAAATGGCCCGGGTATAAATCACTGATTTTGCATAGATTGATTCAGTGTCTATGGAAACTAAAATATTAGACCCTCAAATTCTTTTTGTTGCTACATTAATAAAACCCTTTAGTTGAGAACAATCATGTCGTCTTGCTTTTGTTGGAAATAGTTTGCAATACAACTCAGAATGAAAAGAGTTGAAGTGTGGCACCTTTTTATGTGAATTTTCTGAAAGGTTGCCTGTGAATTTTCAGCAAATTCGTTTGACACCTTTTCATGTGAATTTTCTGAAAGATTGCACTATCAATTCATGCCTATTAACATGAATGGTTTCTGGGTGTTATAGCAAAATAAATAACTGCTTTAACACAAGAAAAAAAAAACTAGGTAATTTTCAGTATTCTAATTCTTGTCAAAACAATCCAAGAACTTGCTACTCGGTTGTCTTTTCGAATTCATTGCATCCTAGAGTTTTTGCCCAATACCTTATTAGCAAGATAGTGGGGGCAATTAAACTTCAAAAAGTGATTACACATCTTGAATTCACTTAGTGTTTATCAGATTCTCCTCATTTGTATTTCTGCAATTTTCCTGGAACTTCGTTATCAATTCTCTTGTTTTTAACTTACTTATTATCTTATATACAATTACAACCCCTTTATTTCCTATAGCTTTAATTAACTTCTGCCAAATGCTCGCTGGATTTACTATGTCAAGGAGAACTTATGGTTAAACCTTACATAGGTTTACTTGTAAAGAAAAATGCGAGAAAAAAAAAATGAAGGAAAGGCAGTTTGTTTTCTTTCCATTTTGTTCATGTTAGAAGGAAAATTTGAAGGTTTTCTTGCATTTTATTAAATTATGAATCTTGTAAAATTTGCAACTCAAAAAATGGTTTGTTAGACATATCAATAGAAATAACAATGATTGAGTAAATTTTCCCAAAAGATTGCTGCATGCTTGCCCATCATGATTCGATAACCTAAAATTCACAAGTCACTACTCAAGACACATTCATAAACATGAATTGCCATGTAAATAACTTAAATAAAAAGGAGCCCCCAAGTGTTAATATTTATCAAAAT